CGTACTCCGATGGCGAGGAGGCAAGATGGCCAACAGTGGTTGCGGGTGTTGTTGCTGGCTAACCCAGATAGCTCGTCTGCGAGCGTCGACAATGATCTTTTCAGCACTGCACATGGTTCAGGTCACATTTGGGGTTGCGGATCTCACACAAGCCAGAGTAACATAAAGTACACAGCAAGAAGGGCCTATTGCAGACTGATCCCCTGTGCTGAGGTGGACTGAATTGTCGCGCCAACCGACAATCTTTCGAACCACGAGTGATATCGCACCGTGATAGGTTTGGGCGCACCATCTCGATGAGGAATGGGCTGATTTGCTGCAATTATGGATTCTCTGATGTCGACCCTGCCAGCAAACATACGCAAATTGAGGCTCCGTGGCTCAGGGCTAGAGTGATGAACTACTCAACACTCAATGACCAAAGGATCCAGGTTCAAACACCGGAACATCCAGACGTGGAGGTGGGTAAGGCTGCCTGACGACGACCAACAAGCCGGCGACGTTCATTCGCCACCCCCCCCCTTTCTAAACAAATATGCTGTCATGGGAAGGTCTCTCATCAGTCAGGTTAGGACCATGTCCCTTCCCTTAAGCCTTTGAACTCAATCTAGAAATCTCGTAGACGGCTTTTACGGTGGTCAGTATGAGTATCGACAAAGACATGTGAAAATATGTTAGAGATTGTAGAAGCTCTCCACAAGCCTGCTTTACTCCCTCAGTGCTGACGCAAACCATAGCCTGTTTTGAGGACCAACCCCTCATCGCAGACTCCAACTTCCCGATCCGAAAAGCTATGTGACCTCAAACTCGACCTATCGACAAACATATCTTTCCGCAGCCGCTAGTCTTCTTTTGCGGCACACCAGACAGACCGTTCGATATTCTAACCGCAAAACCAGTTTCACGCTAGTTAAAAAATAAATAGCTCTTAAGTCGCTTCGTGCGGTTGTTGCTCATGTTTGATCTTTAGTCAAATTCTTCCTATGTGCGGTGGTTTCTTCCTTTCCCACAGAAGTGGCAGTAACGAGATCCCCAACGGCATTCCAACCAACCCCCAATGCGAACGTCCGACACTTCTGAGACCGAATATCAGAGCATCACCAAAATCGAACTATAATCCAATGTAACTGGTCATAAACTCAAACTGTGCGAGCTCTCGCTCTCTCGTATTGCCCTGTGCATCTGCTGGTCTTCGAGGTCTTTTCTGTTTCCGTCTAGCTGGCGGTCTTTTAAACCTGTTTTTTGGCGCGGCAACAGATAGCGTCCCCCTCCGCCCCTTGACTCTTGCCGCGCTCACCTCTCCGCACCCGCACGGGAGACGACGGGGGCTGGCCGAATAACAGGAGGGTGGGGTGGGAGGGGGGGGGACGAGATTGTTGCAAAAGCATAGACGCGATTAATTGGTACGACTGAATGAACAGAAGCCAATCAACCGAGGCAGGAGGAGGCAACTCTTGACATCACCAGCATCGGCCGAGCGGACAGTCAGGGCCACCCTGTTGTTGCATAGCTGGCGGTTAAGGAGACCTTACTCGTTATGGGCCATCCCCATGGCGACAAGTAAAATTCGCCTAATAGGGACCCAGTTTCTGCAGTCTGCCGAAGTCTGTTGGTAAACCATTTTCAGAGCCTGCCTTAAGGAAGGCACGACTTGAAGGTATTGTCCTATGGTCGTGAAATGACGATGGTCGAAGAAGGAAGTTTTATTATCGGCGGTCTCAGACAGAAATCAGATCAAGGCTTTACCATTTCTTGCCACGTACTCCCTATACCTGAACACTTTTCATGTGTTATGGCCCATTTTGACATCCTAAGGCAAGCTGGCTCTAAACGTTGCATCATATCGGTTCCGAACACTGTGGAAAGCAAACATGTGGACCAAGCATACCGAGTGCTCACGATCGGAAGGTTACGGAGGTTGGCACATGGGAGTATTAATTGCAAGCGCGTCGTATTTGCCTTCCAGCCCGCTAATATTCCCCAGGATGTACTAGAAATCGTCTCTGCAACATTTTGCCTTCCCTACTAGCGACCCTCCTATTCCAGTGCAATTTCTATCATAAATAGATTACCCATGGGGAGAGAAGCACCACCTATTCTTAATGTTTTTTCACAGGGTCATCGTCTTTATTTATGCCTCTTGGAGCCGTTTGCATTCCGAGAGCCCCAAAAGACGATATTTTAACGGTTATCAAAAATGCCATCCATGCAACCTGCCTGACAGTGGTTGCGGTACAGACTTGGTGGAGAAATAGTTTCATGTTTCCTCCAGATCCGAAGGCCAACTCCTCCTGGCACACATCACGCGCGCCGAAGTTAAGTTACATGAGTGGGCCGGCAGAAGGCGAAACCTTATTCGATGACACAACAACAATCATGCGTAATACCTCTTTGACACGTGACCTTGCAGGAGCTAAGTGACTTCCACATCAGTACACAATCACACCTGAAGGTATTGCGGCCGCGTGGTCCACAGGAGCTTTTGCATCAAACGTGAAGGTCACAACCAGCAATTACTGAGGGCCATCCGAGACCCGTGAACGTTCCGGGTAACTTGCAGTTTGCTGGGAGGAAACCCCTTCATCCCGGGTTTCTAGTCGTCTGATTCGGTTCAGCGAAAAGATGCGTGAGATGGTTAAAGCAGTTACTT